TTTTAGATCTTTGAGTTCAGCTCATGAAAAATGGGAGCAAAAACAAAAGTGTTGCATTTATATTTTTGTTCAGTGTAGATTGGTTCTCTATAAGCCTCGTTTTCATTAAGCAGTTCTGTCTGCTACCAGGTACCATCTGACAGGAAAATGAAGGCTTAATTTACGTCACTAAATGCATCAACTGTTGCACAATCAAAACAGGAAGAAGATAGATAGTTACCAGTGTATCAATGTAAGTAATTTGCAGTTGCTATCCCCTGTAGCAGAAATGGCGAATGGTTGAACAAACGGTGTTAGTGACTCGGCTCTGAGGAAAACAGACAGTGACCTGCTTCTTTGTGACAGCAGCAGCAACAATAATACTACTTTGAAATAGTTTGACATTTTGGCTTAACTGATTTTATTTATTTTTTTGCCAAGAATTAGATTAGAGATTCAATCCCACTCTCACACCAGTTTTTTTGAATATAAACCTGGAGCTGCAGCTGGTTAACTGAGGGGGAGAGAGCTAGCAAACAGCTAGCTTGGCTCTGTCCAAAGATAACAAAATCTACCTAACAGCAGGTAGGGCTGTGTGCCAGATTTTTCTTGGCTGTGACTTCCTGACATCCTGTTGTCACCATGTTGCCAGGCAATCAGCTGAGATGTTTTTACACTTCGGTTTTTGTGTGTAGTCTAATAAACAAATGAGACAAAGCGTAACAGAGTGTTCACATGTGGCTCTTTAACCCCTCTCCAGTGGCTCCTTCTGGCTGTAAAAAAATTAAATCACATGGAAATGAAACACGTTTTAATTATTACAACATTTTAATTTTTATCTATTATTGTTAGGCCTAATGAAATTCCTACACACACTCTTATATGAAGAATAAAAAAAAAGTTTTTAACATTTTGTCAACTACAACTATGGCCTGGCACCTTTCTAATAAATGCTGCTGATGTCATATCTAAATGAACTTCAGGAGTGGTGGCTAGTCTTGAGTCTTCCAAGCAAGGCTGGCTATGGACTCCAAATCCAAAAATGTAAAAGTCTGGGAGGAAAATAGAGACATTAATAATGAGTGGAGGGATTCATTTGCTTTCACCACCAAATTTTACTACTCATTTAGGCATATTAGTAATGTTGATTGTGGGTGCTTTCACACCTGCCCTTTTGCTTTGGTTCAGTCGAACTCAAGTTTGTTTGCAAAATTAGTCCCTGATTCGGATCAAAGCAATTTCAAACGGTACTTTCCAACAGCGCTCTGAATTCACGAACAGTCCACTTTGTGCTAGAATGCACTCTGGCACTCAAAATATTTCCACACACATCCATAATGTGGTAACTGGTGAGCTTTTGAGGTGCTGGCTTACATATTTTGTTATTTTCATTGCGAGCCAGACTAACTGTGCCCCACTGTTTCCGGTCTCTATGCTGAGCTAAGCTAATCGGCTACTGGTGGTTGCCATATACAGTACTTAGCGGACAGACTTGAGAGTGGTATCAATCTTCTCATCTAACTCCCAGTGAGAACGTTAATAAATGTCAGACAATTTTTTCAAAATATTCAGTGGCGTATGTCATACCCACTGAACCCACGTACATGTGTGAATTCAAATTACTCAATTACTTTCTTCTTCTTCTGTAGAGCCAATAGTAGCAGTTGCGGTGAGCCACACGGGTAGACTACCAATCCTTCATTACCAGTTCATTCTGGACTGTGAAGTGACTGGAACTGTTGCCAGCATTTGGTGGTGGAAGAATGGTGAACCTATCACTGCTGACAATACAACATTAATTGACCAGGACAACAGGACACTGACTCTCAACCCAGTCCAACTTTCAGATACTGGAGATTATCAGTGTCAGGCTTTAAATGCTGTGAGCAACATGACCAGCAGCCCCTACACCGTTAGAGTGAACTGTAAGTATCTTAATCTCTTTTTCTCCCTTATGTCGATACACGCAAAGAGCAGAAACATTGAGAAATTTAACCTTCTTATTAATTGTTTGACATGAAAAGATGGCCCAATGAAACCAGTGATTGTGGGGCCATCCATGGCTCTGATGGGAACACTGCAAACCCTCAACTGCTCAAGCGCATCTTATCCTCCCAGCCACATCAGCTGGCACTTCAACAATACCCAGCTGGCTACCACCTCAGAGTTAACGATTGGGCCGCTAACCCTTAATATGAGCGGGATATACACCTGCATGGCCGTCAACAACATCACCTCCAACAACAGCACTGCCTACATGATGCTCTCTGTTTTGAGTAAGTTACTGCATAGTTTGACATTTTAGGCAAGCAAACATTTAGCTTAGCTTAGACTGAAAGGCGGAGGAAATGGCTAACCTGGCTCTATCCAAAAGTAGAATAAAACAACCACCTGCACTGACAAAATCACAAATTGAGTCTGAGAGGTGCTCGTAGGCTGATTTTCTTACCTTTGGATAGAGCAAGACTGACTGTTTTCCTCTGTTTCCACACTTTATGCTAAGCTAAGCTAAGCTAAAAGAAAAAAGCCTCCTGGCTGTAGATTTATACTCAGCAGTCATGAGAGTGGTATGAATGCGGACATCAAATAAAGCAAATATTCCCAAAATATTTATTTAGTCTGCCTCAAAAACATAAAAAAAAATTGCAAAACCAGTAAGCCAGTGCATCATATATGTTTTGGAGTTTTGCCACCATCCTTTTATTCTCCGCAGCTCCAGTGACCATGGCGTTAGTAAAGATTGTCAGAGCTCAGCCAATCCAGAACCACACTTTGACTCTGACCTGTGAGACAGCTGGAAGTGTGGACCGGATCATCTGGATGTATAATTCATCCCCACTGTATCCTGACAGCACAAGACACTTCTCAATGGATAACGCCACCCTCACCTTCAATCCTGTCATGAAATCTGACGATGGGAACTATCAGTGCGTAGCTTCCAACCCGTTCAGCAGATTATCCAGTCAAAACTTCACACTGGAGGTTTTTTGTAAGTACTCACCATGACATCTTACCCTGAGGACTTTTTCAATCTGCCAAAATAATACATTAATTAACATTAACATTAATACAGCAGTTTATAAAAAGAAATTCTAAAAAACATAGGAAATCGGTAACTATAAAGGAATTAGATGACACATTCGTGAATGTAACCACCAGTGGTGTAAGAAGTACTGAAATTTTACTTAAGTAAAAGTAGCAATACCACAGTGTGAAAATACTTTGTCACAAGTGAAAGCCTCTTTTTCAAAAGTATAAGCCAGGGGCCAGCTACCTTTATCATCAAAAGAGCCATTTTTGACCAAAAATAATCAAAAAAATCTGTGTGGCTCCTGAGACGCAGGTTGCCCAACCCTGGTATAGGCATTGAAATATTCTTATAAGTACCAAAAGTAAAAGTATTCATTATGTAGAATGGCACATTTCAGAATGATATTATTAGACTAATTACTGATGCATTTATGCCTCTTGTCTTTAAGATGCTTAAGCAAAAACCATGCAGTTGTTTGCAAAAATGTGTTGTTTTTGCCCACTGTATTCAAATATTTATGCATTCTGGCATCCCTAAATGGTCTTGAAATTGCATATGACTGGAAAGCTGAGACTATTTTGGATTTAATGAGCCCAAATCTATTAATGTGCGATGACATTAGCCCCCATAATAGCCATTTCATTGTAATGAGACCTTTTTTTTTTTTTTTTTAATGGATGACACTGTATGAAATGACCTATTGTAACTTTGAGGATAATACAGCCTCATGAAACTCTACAACCACAAACTATAGAGCTCGGACATTCAGGGGATGTATGGCCTGCATAGGTATAATGACAATTTGAGGGTTTCTCAGCAGTTTCCACAATAGAAGTGCTCACCATCAAATTGCTGATACATGCAAGTCTAACAGAAATCTTCAAATGTGAAAAGTTTTTGATACCAAATTACTTCTTATGGTGCTCTCTAAATGTTTTAATTTGGTATTTTGGAGGGATTTTGACTATTTCTATCAATTCTTGAGTGGTCAAAAATGCTTAAATTTAGCACAAAACTGTGTAACTGATGGTATCAACCCCAAAATTCCTTAAAAAATGTACACACCTAACTGAACATGTCATCATAATTTACTGGTTGATTATATTTTACATCTGCAGAGTAACTAGTAAACTAAAGCATTTCAATAAATGTAGAGAAGTAAAAATGTAAAGTTCTTGACTCTGAATTGTAGTGGAGTAGAAGTATGAAGTAGCTTAAATACAGGACTTGTGTAAATGTATCTGATGACCACACACTTAGTAGAATAATCAAAAAAATATCAACTGAAATGAACTCAACATTCAATCGTTGGTGTCAGTATATCCAAAGGTGGACTTCTCCATTCATGTACACGTCTGTGTTGTATAAATGTTTTCAGTGAAGGTGATCTAAAGTAATATCTGTGTGTTTAGATGGACCACAGATGCCAACTATCATGGGTCCAAATGTGGTAAAGACAGGAGACAACGTCACACTCAGCTGCTACGCATCATCAAACCCTCCCAGCTCCTACAAATGGTTTTTCAATGATACTCTGATGGCCAATACGTCTGAGTATACCACACCTCCTGTTACCAAAGACATGAGTGGGATGTACACCTGCGTGGCCTACAACAACATCACCCATAAAACCAGCACTGCATACACAAAGCTCACTGTTTTTGGTGAGACTTGGATTGCAATTTCAATGTTTCTGTAAGAACGTATGTGGCCAGGAGAGCACTAAAAACTGTCATGTACTTTCTGCTTTGTTTCCAGATGGATTTGAACATGTGCAAGTAGAACCACCCATGGATCCTGCCATAGAAGGTGACTTTTATCAGCTAACATGCAATGTGACTGGACCTGTTGGGCATGTTTACTGGATGAAAAATGGTGAGCCACTGCATGAAGACAACAGAACTGTTTTCCACATGGAAAACAAGATGGTCACCTTCAACCCAGTGGAACAAAATGACACTGGAGACTACCAGTGTGTGGCTACCAATGCGGTTTGGAACATGACCAGCCCTCCATACAGGCTCCTTGTGAACTGTAAGTAACTTTTAAAGGTCAAATGTAAAAGATTTTGGGGGATTTAGTGGCATCTAGTGGTGAGGATTGCAGACTGCAGCCAGCTGAAACTTCACCTTGTTAGAATTCCTTCAGTGTTCACTGTCCAGATTGTTTTTACTGGGAGCTGAATTAACTGCAGAGGTCTCCTCCTCTCCAAAGTAACGGACCAGGTGATTAAAACGCTGGGCCTGGGCCTATTTGCCCAGCACCTGCTAATGTGTGCTCACCTACTTTCTCTGATAACTGAATGTGTGCTCACTTTGTTTCTGATCCAGACGTTCAGGAGGTTTTCACCTTGAACTAAATTGTCCACAGACGTCTCCTACCCTCCAAAACAAACAGACCCGGTGATTTAAACCAGTAAAACCACTGAATAAAGCAGTTTCACGTTACAAATCAGTGATTCTCCAACACTCTTTGGCATGTCGAAGGCGGGCCTCTTACCTAGCACCTGCTTATCTCAAGATCTAGTCGTTTAGGAGGTTTTTAGCATAAATTGATTTATCTGCAGAGGTCTCTTCCTCCCTAAAAAGTGGATCCAGTGATTTAAACTGGCAAAAACACTCAATAAAGCATATTCACGTAAAAAAAATCAGTGTTCTCATTGGGCAAGGGCAGTTAACTACAGTAGCCGATGTGATTACACGAATGGCGCTATTTAGAGCAGGTGTTTGGTTTGTCTGTTCTGGTGGTTCAACATGGCGAACTCAGTAGACGAGGGTCCACTCTTATTATTTTATGTTACATTTCTGCAATATGTCCCCCTAAATCCTACATACTGGACATTTTAAGGATTTATTTCACTGTAACTAACTTTTTTTTTTTTTAACCCATAGTATTTGTCATGCAAACTTATTTTCTCCTTTGCTGTTTCAGATGGACCAGAAAAACCTATGATTTATGGGCCAGCTTTTGGTGAGACAGGACATAACGTGACCTTTTCCTGTTCTGCCATGTCAGTGCCTCCCTGTGAGTTCAGTTGGTTGTTCAATGGCTCCAGCGTGGGCAATAATTCAGAGTATACTACTGAGCGTTTGTCTTTTAATATGAGTGGAGAGTACACCTGCGTGGCCTCCAACAACGTGACGAAACAGATCAGCAATATCACCAAGATGCTCACAGTCATTGGTAAGAAAATTCAGAGGACTCCTTCAATGCATGTTCATGTGACTGTACAACTGATCAGATACTGATTTCTGCTGTGCTTTCTGTCCACAGAGGCAATTGAGTCAGTGATGATCAAAAACAACACAGTCCCAATAAACTCGGAGAACTTCACTCTCACCTGTGACGTTGTTGGGCCCTATGATGCGATCTACTGGATGAAGGACAACAAGTACCTCGCCATGACAAACTCCAGCTCACAATCAAAGATGTCCTACCACGCTATAAACAACACACTGCACTTCACCCCAGTGACAATGGACAATGATGGGGTATATCACTGTGTCGCTGTCAATCAGGCTGGTCCACATAGAAGCCCCAAATACAACCTCTTGGTGAACTGTGAGTGTTGTAGGAAATGATGGAGAGTGTTTTTTTATTACTTGTTCAGTTCATTTAAACTTGTTTTAAGGTAATCAATATTCATTTCATTTTAAATGTTGCATGACATTGTATTAAAACTTCCTTAGCTTCTTCCTTAGCACAATAGTGGAAGGAAAAAATAGAAATACATAATTTGACTGGCTGAAACTGTCACATTATTCACACAGCACTAAATGAGACAGATAATCTGTGAAAGAAATTATATTCCTCTGCTTATACTCCATTGCCTTGTAGCGCTCCTAATGGCATTACCGCACCTGAACAAAAACAACCAGTCAGAGCCGAGGAGTCTCTAACACAGCTGTCAATTATGTCGATCACTGCTTGTGAACTGCAGTCAAAGTGTAAAGCTAGGCAGCGCTGATCAAATATGAATCAAGATTTTGTTACTGCATTGCCTGCTTCTCACCTCAAGTGTTTTCATTAACATAATTTAGTGTACTGTTTAGCTGTAAAATGAGAAAGTTGCTTAGGCTGGTGGGTGCTACTTAGTACTCAATCGATCGCCCTTTTCCAACATGGCAGCTGGGGATAGGTGTAGATTTCAGGAAGGATGCAGGAGACTCATCGACTCTGATTGGTTGTTTTTGGTGCATTGTGATAGACTCTAGCAAATGCCATTAGAAGCAGTACGAGGAGGCTGGACATGATTTTTCTCACAGACTATCTGTCTCATGTACTCTCATGACACAAAGTTACTTTCATGAAAGTTACCAAGTGTAGCTTTAGTGACAGAATAAGTGTGGACACATACAAGGAACCAGACTCCAATTTTTGTGCTCTCTGTCTACAAACAGAAATAGGCATACAGTTAAAACAAGGACAACAAAGTTGAACAGGTAAACATAAACATTTGAAGGGAATGAATAATAATGAATGATTAATATTTACTATAATATTAATTGCTTTACAACGGTTTGAGTTTGACCAGAAATATCTGACTGAGTTTTTATCCCTCTGCACCAGTGACAGCCTCGTATAGAGGCTTCATGTTTTTTTGGTCCGTTTGTCCGTCCGTTCGTACATCTGTCTGTCCCATTCTTGTGAACGCAATATCTCAAGAAGACCTTGAGGGAATTTCTTCAAATTTGGCACAAATTTCCACTTGGACTCAATGATGGAGTGATTAGATTTTGGTGATCAAAGGTCACTGACCTCATCCCTCTTATTCTTGTGAATGTGATATCTCAATAACATCGCAAGGAAATTTATTTAAATGTGGCACAAACGTCCATTTGATCTCAACGATGAACTGATTAGAATTTAGTAGTCAAAAGTCAAGGTCACTGCAACCTCACAATCCTGTTTTCAACCACAACTCAAGAATTCTTGTGCTAATTATGGCTATATCTCACACAAATGTCTGATAGGGAAAAATGATGAAGTGATGACATTTTATATGCGAAATGTCAAAGGTCAGCTTCACTGTGACATCATAATGTTCCGCAAAAACACTTTTCTTGCCCTTACTCAACATCATAACTCGGGAACAAAAGGGGAGACATTTGGTCAGATACTATTAGTAGCACTAATCTTTTGTGCTCACCTTGAAACTGCTGATTTTATAGATCTTCTGTGCTGTCAGGTTGAAGATGTGTGTGAAGCATCCATGATTTCACAGATGTAGATGTAACCTGTCAGTGCAACTTGACGGAGGCATGCAACCGTGAGGCAGTAATTCTAGTTTTGCAATGCTGCTCAGAACAAACGTGGTTATAGGTTTGAAAAAGACTGAGCATTTTGTGCCAAAGCAATTCATAATTTTATTGTCCATAACTCTGACTCACTCCGTCTCTCTGTGTTTGCAGATGGCCCTCTGCATTTGAAAATCTCTGGTCCATTCATAACAGGAATTAAAAACTACGTGACCATGGTGTGCTCCGCTGATTCTCGGCCCGATTGTAAATACCAATGGTTCTTCAAAACTCAGTCATCAGTGGTTGTAGCGGCTGGCCCTGTTATCACTTTCCCTTCGAAGAAAGAGAATGAGGGAATGTACATATGTAAGGCGAGGAACCCTGTGACCAATATCACACTGTACGAGACTCAAACCTTCACTTTCTCAGGTGAGTGATCCTTACTGCTCAATCAGCTGACAAGCAGAAATATGAACGGAACATGTGCCGATGTTTTGACAGGATCATTTTAAAATGTTTTTGTTTATTTGTGTTTTAGTTTCTGATGGTTTTATAGTGTGGAATATTTGACAAACATAGATGATTACAGCCACATAAATAATTTTGTCAGTGATCAGATCAGAATAGTTGTTATACAGTTACAGATATCTCATGCTGTATTAAACGTGATTTACGTGTCATTATTTCCTCCCCTCTCTCCCTCTTAGCCTCCGCCCTCCACCTCCCATCCCGAGGCGGTCTGATGTTGATGGGTGTGTTTGCTTTGTCTGTCTCCAGGCTGTTCAGCTGAACAGTCAGACTGAAAGACGTCTTGCTCCCTCTGCGGTCTGAGCAGTCTTACTGTAAAATGAGTGTGAAGGTATTGTACGGTCTATAATCTGATGCTATATTATCAGTCCTTGTGGGTTTTGCCGGAGAGGTAAAGAGGAATGTGAAAGTATGACAGACTTTGATTTAAGTTACAGGGTTTTTTTTTGCTGTTGGATACTTTCTTTTGTCCGTTTTATTTTCATTATCAAACAGAATATTAACATTTACAGACACTGACAGGGAATTAAATCACCTTATTATTGCATTGCCCGTTTTTTTAGGTGACATGTTTTCAATATTAGCAAGTGAAAGTAGTTGTATTAGTGTTATTGTGTTGACTGTTGCTTTAACTGTAACTGCCTCTGAGGTAGTTTAATACAAGTAATTCAATACTTTGTATAAACAATTTACTCCTCTAAAATACCTGCACACTCTTCTGGTACCAGCTGCAACTCTTCACTGTAAACACCTGCAGTTTTTCTGTCATGTGTTATATCATTACAACTGTAAGTAGATGTACATCTCATCATGCTGTAATTCATGGCATTTATTTTTTAATTAATAAATAATCAACACAATCAACATTGTGGGGACTTTATTGTGAATATACAGTGTCTTTGTGCAGAGTCAGAAAGTTACATTTATGCAGACTTTTGTTGGTGAAATATATAGTCAGAAACATTTTGCTGTTTTATAAACGTACAACTTGTATACAAAGAAACGTGTATGACAGTAATCATTGCATAAACCTCACTACAGGAGGAGGATATACAGTGCTTCTTAGTGTAGGTCATATGGGGACACTGGGACCGTACTTCCTGGTGTGAACGCCCCTCTTCTGTTTCCAGCTGCACTTCTTCAGATTCTTATTTTTCTTCCTCTGGCAAAATGCTTTCACTTATGGTTTGAATAAATCCACACAGATAAAGCAATGGGGTGAGAAAATAACAGGTTAAGTTCACAGTCCAAAATATTTTAAATTGTTTAGTTAACACTTTTGAAAAATCCCTGAAGAGTTTATAATCACCTTTCACCTTTAAGGGGAGACGCCTTAAAGGTGAATTTCCCCAGCTGATAACTTACAGAAAGTTAGTTATTTTTTATATTACAAGTTTTCTGAAATGTTATGTTTAAATGCGCGAATGATCCATTATCATACAAAAATGTGCTGATTTACATACATTTCCAAAACAGGAATCTGAACATTGGATAAAGCCAAGTTCAAAGTTCTTTTTTTTAACTTTGTCATATTTATGTCAAAGGTTTTTACAGAGGGGATTTTGGATGTCTCTTTTTATCACTATATTAATCAAAAAACACTGTCAACAGCTATAAAAAAATCTATTTTTGCCATGTTTTTCAGAATAAAATGTTCTATAAATCAGGCTATGAATGATACATGAACGAACTCCTTGGTAAAAACCTTCAAAACATAAATAGGAATAAAACTGGAAAGTCTGGTGTATGTAAGCGCTACTGAAGTGGAGATTTTTGGATCGGAGTATGAGAAAAAACTCATTTTGAGAAAATGGCCTTCAAAATCATCATTTGTAAAATCCCACACATTTTCAGACAAACAAAGAAGACACACATGTAAAAATTTAACCAACAGATATTACCTTAAACTTCCCCAGCTGAGTCGTATCGTATTTTCTTAAATGTGTAAAAATTCAAATTAGGCGTTATCTATTTAAATATACACTTTTACATACATTTCCAAAACAGAAATCTCAACTGAACTAAACACCCAAATGTGTATTTTGGATGTTTTCTTTCCACTAGTCTGAAAGAAGACATGTTAAAGTAGCCCAAAATCTCAAAACTGACCAGTGCATAAACTGTATTTTCACCTCTGGTTTCTCCCCTTAGTTTGAGTTACTGAATACAAGACTGACTTACTTGTGACTGATTGTTTTACTTTAATATTTTATAAACGTGATACGCTATATGTAACTCACATTTTCCTTGTTTGCCATTGCGTCTGCCAGACTGGTGACAAGGGCAGCGTGCATTCACTGTCTCTCCTCCCTTTCCTGGGTGACCATATGAAAAGACAAAAGAGTAGATAGGGTTAGGACAATGCACTCAGCTAATACTGAGGCTCTGCTTACACATAAACTGTAGATTGCTGACTAGATATGTGTTTTGTTCACAGTATACACTTCTTTCACCTTTACAGTTACACTGCCTGACATGGTGTCTGGGGCTGTGGATTGGATTTGCAGTTGTCATGGGTTTTCCAACCGCAGACGCTACGACACAAATGATATCAAATAGAATAGATTAATTGCATTTATTAGGGTCAAATAAGTGCAAATGGAAATACAAAACTTTAGATATTACTGAACCACTCTTGGAAAATGTGTTTTAATCATTAATCTTGCATACCATCAGTGAGTGTGTTGACAGTCAGGGATTGTTCACGTGTCTCAGGATCACCTGTAATGCACGCACAGGATGTAAGATTACTTTTAAAACTCATTATCTTGTCTCACTCTGATATATAAGAACACAATACCTTGGCTGTGATCAGTAAATACAAGCAGTCCAAGAACAATCAGCAAGAACATCCTTAATCCCATGTTGTACCAAAGCCAGTTGAGGTGAAGAAATCCTGTAGGTAACCTCAGTCCCAGTGCTGGAATAAGATGGTTGCTGTTGCTGTAGTTCTTTATAAAGGATGGTGTTGATGTCTGAAATTTTAGCCGTGGCGCATTCATCGACTGCCAGATACGTGAAGCATGAAGCCTGCCCACCCAGCACCTTTCACAGTGGGTGACTGTGAATAACAGGAAATGGGTAACTTTGCCAAAAAAGAGTGATTGCGGTTTTGCGTAATGGCTCGTTGTCGTGAGAAAGTGAGGGACCCACATGATACTGACCTGCAGTTAAAGAAGATTAGGATTCAAAATATGCCTGTCTTTAAAGTCTCAAGGGAAGCTTTTCTTGCAGGGTCTTGTAATTATATGATCACACTTTTTATTGTTGTTAGGTTTGTTTCATGACTGTGAGCATGTTATTTGTACTGCTGCCTGTCTTGGCTAGGAGAGTCTTGAAAAAGATTGTTTTTAATCATAATGAGTCTTTTACTCCTGGTTATATCAAGGTTCAATTCAATTATAAATTAAAGCTGCTAGCAGCAATGAACAGGCCCCCACACCTTCCTGCATGTCAAAGGTGTTGGCGGGTAGCAGGTTCACGTTGTCATGCATTCCAGACACTGCGTACACGGCTTCAGACGTTATTCACAGCTTGAAACATGGTGCTGGAGATTAAGTACTGCATATTTTGTACCACCTCCTGTGTCAACTATGCTGTGCTAGAGAACACATGCTATTTATACGTCCATCCATCCATCCATTTTCATCCACTTATCTGGGGCTGAGGTGTGGGGGCAGCAGGCCAAGCAAAGCACCTCAGACATCCCTCTCTCCAGCAATGCTTTCCAGCTCCTCCTGGAGGACTCCAAGGTGTTCCCAGGCCAGATAAGATATGCAATCCCTCCAGCGTGTTCTGGGTCTGCCTTGAGGCCTCCTACCAGTGGGACATGCCTGAAACACCTCCAACGGGAGGTGCCCAGGAGGCATCCTGATCAGATGTCCGAACCACCTCAGCTGACCCCTTTCAAAATGAAGGAGCAGCGGCTCTACTCTGAGCTCCCGCCGGATGTCTGAGCTCCTTACCCTATCTTTAAGGCTGAGCCCGACCACCCCACTGAGAAAACTCATTTCGGCCGCTTGTATCCGCAATCTCGTTCTTCTGATCACTACCCAGAGCTCATGACCAAAGGTGAGGGTTGGGACATAGATGGACCAGTAAATCGAAAGCTTCGCCTTCAGGCTCAGCTCCCTCTTCACAGCAATGGACAGGCGCAGAGCCCCCATTGCTGCTGAAGCCGCACCAAACCGCCGACTGTTTATACGTCATGTTGCTTATATTATCTGTGAATGACACAGTCTAAATTTTAAGTAAATCAGACTATCTTTGTCACAAAAGGCTGACTTCCTGTTGTCAGTAGATGGCACTATGACTCTGAGTCAATATGGACATGTAGATGTCGTCAGGCCTTGACTGTTACACTTTGGACTCACCTTTCACTTTAAACATCAGTGGACAGCCATGGTCATGCAGACGGACATGCAGTTCTATTCATAGTATGATTGAGGAGGGGTCCGTGTCCGCTTCCAGCAGTACACAGGAAGGCTAAAAGGTGAACTTCCTGTCCTCCTCCTGTTGACGTCAAGTGAAAGTGAAAATAAGAAGATGCTGCTCAGTCTGAGGTGAATGTCTGCCAATTATCAAACTAACTTCACCGTGGTGAGGCAGCTGCAGCTTGACCCTAGTGTTTTGGAGTGGACTGGAGTTTGGACTGTACACCGATGCCCACATAGGGGTCCGTGTTGACCCTTGCAGACATGGTTGGATGATATCATTTACATCACGTAGACCAAAGCGGACCCTTGCGACTCTCGCAGACATGTGGATGCTGAGCCTATGACTTGGCCCTTATACAGCATGTGAAATTTGGAGATTGGGTTATGTAAAGTCATGTTACAACAGCTTACTGTTTCATGTCGAAACATTGAAATACAAAGACTCAGTAGTCATAAGAAACATCATTAAGGTCTAAAGGCTTTCAGACAAATAATGTGGATCTGGTCAACTTGCAAGGAGGAGTACATCAAAGTAATAAACATGCCATTTCCTGTTGACAGGGGATGGCGCTATAAGTAATCATTGGCATTTAGATGTCTTCAGCCTGGGACTGTTATCCAGTGTGTGAAATTTGGGGAAGATTTGACCATGGACAGTCGAGCTATAAACCACTTCCTGTTTCATGGCGAAACATGAAATTTGTGCCTCACCACAGCAACACCGTTTGACGAAATCTCAGGCTTTTAACACACTTTCATGTTGAAGATCTTAAGATGGCACAGACAAAATTTGAAGTCGATAGGGTGAAAGCTCTATGTATGACCCCTGAAAATAGAAAAAAAAATACTAAAATTGCACAGTTAATTCAAAATGGCTGACTTTCTGTTTGGTTCAGGGCATGGCTCTAGTCTTGGGAAGTTACATGTACCTCCCAGATTTTATACATCTAGCTCTAATGCACCGCAAGGGCTACTTTGTTGAAAGTTGGTGCTACTGTGCCCTTCTGTCGCACCCGAGCACAAAACCTATAAAATATCAAATTTTTCACCACTTGTGATGCGTGTACAAAGTTTTGTGAGTTTGGAGCACCTCAAAAATGTGATTCATCGCACAAAATAACAGTTCCTTCAGTTTCAATGGGGTCCTTGCACTGTTCTGTGCTGGGCCCTTATAACTTTGACTGGTTAAGTGTGTCACAAACACATTTAGTGTTCTATGCTTTCTCGTCATGCTTTACAGATAGGCTTACAATTAATCACAATTCTGGGTGCTTGTTATCAGCCCTGTCAGTACCACTGCTGCGGACATGCCATTAACTGTCACATGTAAGATCATGCTTGCTGTGATCTAGAATCAGGAGCCAGAATTGTAAGTTTGAGGTACTGTATTATGTCTGATGAATGTTGGATGCAGCTTTAGGGCAAAACAAGACTTGTTCACCCTCCTCATGTTTCAGAAATTCAGCTCTGTTCTCACAACCGAGACCAGGACAAAACCAGTGAACCAAAAGCAGTAAATCTCTGTGAGTGAGTAATCTTAATGAAGCTGCTGGTTCCAAAAATGTAGCACTGCATCAGTGATAATGTATCATGGTCTCTTACTCTGTCAGCAGCCTGGATCTGTTAAATCAATCAAGGGACACCGAAACCATTTTTTATCTTTAATGCATTCTTCCACTGCTTACACAATCAGCCATCCTGAAGCATAATTCAAGTCCTGCAGCACAATCCTTATCCAAGAGGCTCAGAAGCATTTTTAGTGTGAAGTAAAGCCTTTTTAAATGGTCTGATCGGCCGTTATGTTGCAGATGACATTAAACTTGAAGCACAAGTGACTTTAGATATATCTATACGACTTCACAACCTACTCAAATACATCTATGTTTGCAACAAAACACGGCCTCTCATGTCAAAATGTGTCACTGTTATAATAGGTGAAGCAAAAAGTTACAAGGACAATAATGAGACCTGTGACATAATAAAAGGCAAGTAAACAGTAACGGTCAATCAAAAACATTTGGTCATTCAAATGAACATAATACAAAAGACACCAGACACCACAACAAAGAAAATAAAGCTATCGCAAAAATAAATGCAAGCCATGGAACTTGGTCAAACTGAGAAACCAAAATGATGAATTACAGCAATTTCTTGGTCAGGGCAGCTATAGTATATTTTTATTTTTTACCAGACATATCCTGGCACCTAAAGACCCAAAGTCTCATCTCTTTCCCAACTAGTACTTGTTCCAGTAGCCTCAGGTGGACAAAGCATGTGTTGCATAAGAGTTTGTCTTTCTAGAAAGCAGATATCTGTCCGTATCCTGAGGTAAATTAGGCTCTTACAGTCTCATGAGAGCAGAACATGAAAGGGGCGAGATCTGCGGCACAGCTCTAAATAAAGTTTTTAATGAAGTGCAGCAACTAATGTTTTGACCTACAGCGTATCTTCATTTGAGTAAAAAGCTGCTGCATCTTTTTCAAAGCTTTTATTCATAAGCACTGGATTTATTTACTGTGTTTTCCAGTGTCATCCCTTCATGTCACCATCTGGCTCTGACCCCCATGGATGACAGACAGGAAGTTCCCGGTATCATATTTATCATTTGGATCATGTGGCAGAAAAATGAAGTAATCCTTCAATGGAAAAACACTGGGAACCAAAAGCTAGTGGAACACGTGCTTACTGGGAATTGAGGCAAGACTTCTCTCTCTAGCACAGCACATTATATTTCTGACTGTATCATGAACACAAAAAAGCTTAATGGTCCCATTATATGTAACAGTGGTCACCAACCCCAGCCATGGAGAGGACAAATAAACTGTGCATCTCTTTGCCTCAAGTAATTGATTCTATCTATCCTTCAAGGTGTTAATGAACTGAGTGTGATGCTCTCCTGAAACAGGGATGATGACCACTGTGGTAGTGTAAGTTTGTGCCCTGGTTGCTCAGTTCTCGGCAGGTTTATCTAGCATGGACTTCAGATGGGCGTGTAGGAGTTCGCACACAACCTGGTAGCCCTTAGTAGTCAGGTGAAGGTAATCGTACATGTCCTGATGGGAGATGCTACCATTGGAGTGGACGAAGCCTGGGTCTACGTTGAGGAAAGATGCATGGGGGAGGGACGATACAGCCTCCTCGACCAGCTTGTTCACCTTAGCATTCTTCTCCCGCAGAGGGTTTGGCAGTTTACCTCTGGGCAGTATACCCTGGAAAACACATGTATGGATGTTACAGTTTGAAAGATGGAACGCTCCTTAGCTTTTTTTTGTAATAGTACCAGAAATAAAAAAGTATGTAAAAATACTGTTTACTATCTGAAAATTCAGCCACATGTCAGTTGAAATACCCATGAAGTTTTAGCCTCACCAAACACACAACACATGGAGTTCAATTTCATCCCTACCTCCAACAAGTAAAGACTATAAATGTGAAAAGTAGCGTACCGTAAATCTTAATATCCGAGTTTTAATTTGCATTGATCACTGAATGGAACGGACCTTTAATTCCTTTCGCAAAAAATTGTTGCTTGACTAAAATGGAAAATAATATCACATTGTTTATTTAAACCTGGTGTTGTGTCAGTATGGCACCAGCATCTCCCTTTATCCTCTTAAAACAATATTCACAACTGGGATTGATTTTTATTTGACACTGTTTTGATTCTTTTGTTAGGTGGACCCTAACCGACTAAACAAATATAAGGAATGGATACATATTCAGACCATGTCAGAAGTAGAGAATCAGTGCTTTTTCTTCTCTCTTGTTTACCATGCCGGTAAATCTGAATGAATTATACTTTAGAGCTCACGGTTTCAGTAAAATTAACTGAATGACTGATTTGTGGAGAATCTAACAGAGCTAAGGACATGTAGCATATCCACGTTGACAAAAGTTTAAACAATTATACGCGCAGTCTAGGAAGCTAACAAACATTAGCAGGTAGCCAATGAACTGTGAGTTTTTATATCCAAAGAACTAATAATATAAAAATGAATTGCCTCGCAACCAGGCAACCAGACCATTTATCCGTCAAAACAGGTAGCCACACCCGGCTAGTAAAATGGACTCTGCGTGTAATTGGGGCTCAGCTTTTAATTTAAGTTTTACAGCATCTCCAAACAGTTCACACACATTCCAGTAGTCTTTGTGTCCCAAAGCTGACATGGAACTAAAACGGGTGACATCACTGTGCAATTTGATGGTTGTATGAACTTCACTTGTCATTTTCAACGGACATGTGGGCGACTAGATTAAAACTTCCTTTAAGGAATGCATCAGAAAAAAAACCTACAAGTATGAGCGTCTTGGCATTGGGGATCTTGTTCTTGATGACTTGGACAATAGCCATGATGCCTCCACAGACCTGTTCAGCGGTGTGACCATGGTTGTTAGTGCCTACCCACAGCACTACAACCTACAACAACAAAAGAGAAAGGCTAGACTGAGCACATGTCATTGACAATTTGGGGTCAGCATATCTGGAATTTAGATTTTTACCACAAAGCACAATGACTCTACTGTGTGAATAAACAAGCATGATCATGTTCTCTATTTTTGGCAGTGATTTGGACCTTTGGGCTGATGTTATCCAGTTCACCATTGCACAGTCTCCACAGTACATGTTGTGTTGCATCGCCACCCACCCCAAAATTGAGGGCATGGAGAGGAGAGAACAGCTGCCTCCATATCTGCAGACAAACCACAACAACAAAGCATCCAGGTGTTGAAAGCTAAGCTCACCCAATTTCAAAGCGAGCACAGCTGATGATGAGAACAAGACAAGCCGTCAAACTTTGTACACAAACAGGGGACAGTGTGTGATTTGTGTTTTACCGCAAACTGGTGCATGAGCTGAACAAGAGAGTCTCCAACAAACAGGACATCAGGCTCTTTGTCTTTGCTGTCAGACACAAAGCGGTTGTGCTATAAAGAGACAAAGTAAAAGGACAAATACGCAGACTCAGAAATTATTTTTGCCTGTACATGAAAACTGCAGACACATAAAAAATGTTTTGTATTTATATGGAAACTGGAAGACATTAGCTTGGAAACCACATAAAGTATTTCCTCAGTGGATCAAATATCAGTGCATATTCTCATATCAATCTGTCAGGATTGTTTTAAGCTTTCAGTACGGTTATATATCACCACAATACATCACTACTGAATTATTTATGTTTTGTTCTTTACTGTAAATTCATAAAACTGAACATTAGCGACAATGCAGACCGTGAAAGCCACATAATCCACGGCTGATATACTGTAGCCATGTAAACAAAGGGAAAAAGAGATAGAAAACTCATAATAATAATAGTAATAATTCACACACCATAGACATCCATCGTCCATCTCCCTGGGTGTCTTCACAGGGAGTGGGTGTGGCGGCGGGGTTTGGGTCTTCTGCACTCATGACTTGGCTCTATCTGTGTTGGGAAAGCAGTCACGTAGGGTTTTTCAGTTATTTTGACATCGGAAACAAACCGATAAATCAGTAGTTTATAGCTGAAGTCGCTAGCTAAGTCTAAGGAGGTTGGCAGAATTAGCCACAGTAGCTAGCCTGTTTGCTAAAACACAAGATAGATGTAGTTTAAGAGAGAAATAGCGGTCACACACACGAGTTACACAGCTTGTTAATAAATCATGCGCGCCTGTAAGTTACTGTGCAAAAGTGAAAAGGCAGAGCTTTATACAGAAGCTACATTTAGAGATATTAAAGAATAAATGCTACCATGAAATCAAAAAATCGTCATCTCCTAATTCAGTTTCAGGAAGTAAATTTTCACTATAGTTGCCAGTACCATTATAGTCTACGGCAACAACGCATATGTTTTGATACATTTTAGCATCGTCTGACACTTTACTAGTGCTGTGTGCTTGGGGTTGATTTTTAAAAGCACATATTATAATGAAATCCAAATAAAGCATTGTTCAAGTGAATAAGAATATAAAAGATGAGACAGTTTCCCCCCCCCGCGTCTGTGAAAGTGGACTCGCCCTAGCCGTTGGTGTTCGAGGGAGTTGGTGCTGCGCAGGGAAACACATCTACGACATGTTGCCGAGCAACGACAGATCTACAGGGGGCAATAAAACGAAAGACGGTAAGCAGCGCTGTTAATTAATGATTTTAAGTTTATATAAAAGTGTTTCGTGACAGATTCACTGTTTCTATCGCATGACATGCGCCTAGAGTTATAGAGTACAATGTTCTTAGCAGCTACAGCTAAATACTTTAACTTTGTACACGTGTGCTTCAAGTTAAAGTGCACCTGGTGGACGTTATCATCACCCGTTTGCTAACCACCAACTATCAAGAATAGCTAACAGTTATGTTTCAGTTGTGCTTTGTGCTTGAATCCAAATGTTGGGTATTGAACCGCAGGGGGCGCAGTTGCATTGAAGTTGTGATCAATATTAATACACTGCCCGGCCAAAAAAAAAGTCACCACCAAAAAAAAGGTCATACACTCTAATATTTCGTTGGACCGCCTTTAGCTTTGATTACGGCACGCATTCGCTGTGGCATTGTTTCGATAAGCTTCTGCAATGTCACAAGATTTATTTCCATTCAGTGTTGCATTAATTTTTCACCAAGATCTTGCATTGATGATGGTAGAGTCTGACCGCTGCGCAAAGCCTTCTCCAGCACATCCCAAAGATTCTCAATGGAGTTAAGGTCTGGACTCTGTGGTGGCCAGTCCATGTGTGAAAATGATGTCTCATGCTCCCTGAACCAGTCTTTCACAATTTGAGCCCGATGAATCCTGGCATTGTCATCTTGGAATATGCCCGTGCCATCAGGGAAGAAAAAAATCCATTGATGGAATAACCTGGTCATTCAGTATATTCAGGTAGTCAGCTGACCTCATTCTTTGAGCACATACTGTTGCTGAACCTAGACCTGACCAACTGCAGCAACCCCAGATCATAACACTGCCCCCACAGGCTTGTACAGTAGGCACTAGGCATGATGGGTGCATCACTTCATCTGCCTCTCTTCTTACCCTGATGCGCCCATCACTCTGGAACAGGGTAAATCTGGACTCATCAGACCACATGACCTTCTTCCATTGCTCCAGAGTCCAATCTTTATGCTCCCTAGCAAATTGAAGCCTTTTTTTCCGGTTAGCCTCACTGATTAGTGGTTTTCTTAAGGCTACACAGCTGTTCAGTCCCAATCCCTTGAGTTCCCTTCGCATTGTGCATGTGGAAATGCTCTTACTTTCACTATTAAACATAGCCCTGAGTTCTACTGTTGTTTTTCTTCGATTTGATCTCACCAAAAGTTTAAGTGATCGCCGATCACGATCATTGAGGATTTTTTTCCGGCCACGTTTCTTCCTCGAAGACGATGGGTCCCCACTATCCTTCCAGTTTTTAATAATGCGTTGGACAGTTCTTAACCCAATTTTAGTAGTTTCTGCAATCTCCTTAGATGTTTTCTCTGCTTGATGCATGCCAATGATTTGACCCTTCTCAAACAGACTAACATCTTTTCCACGACCACGGGATGTGTCTTTCGACATGGTTGTTTAGGAAATGAGAAGCAACTCATTGCACCAGTTGGGATTAAATAACTTGTTGCCAGCTGAAAGATAATCGCCCATGCAGTAATTATCCAATAGGAGGCTCGTACCTATTTGCTTAGTTAAATCCAGGTGGCGACTTTTTTTTTGGCCAGGCAGTGTATTATGCAGTGTTTAAAGGGGGTGAAAGAAACACCTGACAATATTTGGATGCTAAATGTTTAATTTCCGGGTAGTCAGGTGTCACATTTTCTGCTTTTCCTTTGCTTACCCATGTGAGATTGTTTTTGCAGTTTTTAAAAATAGCTGAGAGAAAGATAAACTTGGTTGGTTCATTTCCAGGTACAGAGGGGTCATGTTTTCTGATGGCCTGTGTCAGAAATTGTCTTGACTTCCCACTTGTAGAAAGTGTGAAGGCATCCAAGAGTCAAAAGTTTGTTATGCTGTATATATATAGATAGATATATTGGGGCAACATGGTGGTGCACGCACACTCCCCCTGTGTCAGTGTGGGCCCCATCCAGCTTCCTCTCACCATCCAAAGACATGCAGGTTAGGTTAATTGGTGACTCAATTGCCTAAAATTGTGAATGTGAGCGTGAATGATTGTCTGGCTCTGTATGTTAGTCCTGCAATAGTCTGGCAACCTGTCCAGGGTGTGCCCCGCATCTTGCCCATGACCCCCAACAGGATAAGCAGTTACAGAAATGAAATGACTATATATATTGCATATATCTTCTTTTATTGACAGAATGAGTTAATATAGTGAGCTCTCTTTTACATAAATTGGATTTGTTTTTCACAATCTGCAAAGTGAAGGGCCTTTGACATGGTGCACATGGAATAAATTGTGCAAAATGCAAAACACCTTTCCTGGAAATAGTTGCCTCAAAATTATTTGCAACTCAAATTAAAGTCAATTCCCCTGGGTAGTTTTTTACAAAGTTTCCCACTGCAAAATGACAAGATGTCTGTGAACCTGTTTGAACACATTGTGATGTGAGTTCTGCACTTTAGAAGTGCCACTTTGATATCACCTCTGCCCATTATGGCAAGTAGATTAGATATGTGTCACCGTAGAGTGGGAAGCCCAGACCCACTGTCAGCTCTGTGGATTTTATCTGTGTATGAATCTTGTCTACAGTGATAAAATCCCCAGAGACTGTGGCTGTGGTAAACCAACAGCTGTTCCGCTTTATAATGTAAAAGTTCATCTAAATGCCATCAACAGCTGAAAGCCACACGTGCACTTTTGCTAGAACCTGTGCACCTCTGAGCTGCACTGTTATCAGCATTCGTTTATGATCTTAAAGTACTGCTGACTTGAACTGAACTGCAAATATCTGTGTGGTTTCTGTGAGTCTTATCACAGAGCACAAGCTGCTGCGAGACAGAAATAATAAAGGGGTCAATAAGCGTTGCTATGTAGCCATTACCATGCATTACATGGTTGATTGGTAAGGGCTGAATCTGTTTTATTGCAGCTGAATTTTAGACAAAATTAGCCTTGGTACTAATAAAATACTGTAAATGCTGCATTTCAGCTGTGCAGAACTTTGCAAGGTGTGTATTGTTTAATTAGTGATAATGTTTTTAAATGACGCACACATTAGTTGCCTCAAAAACTGATCCTCAGTTGAGGGTTCTGTGTGAATATAACATGAGCAGAGTTAATGCTCATGTAAAGCAAGTGTGTAACTGTAGCCTACATGTCAACTGCTGTCTGTCTCTGCTAAACTATTCACAGCAGAGACTCTGCACTCTCTTGCATAAAAATAATCTACCTCATTGAAGTTCCCCAGCTCTCTTATTTATATCTTCTACAGAATTACAAATGACTAACTGCAGTTTTGTTTCTACAGAATCCGATGCAGCATGAGCCACGTGTGTGGCGGGGCTTTACCAGACAAAGAAAACATCTTAAATGTTTTCAGCAAGCACATAAAAACAACAGATAAGAAACATTGCTCAGTGAACAGATTCACTGCAGACTGCAAATGTTCAAACCATTATCGTATGACAGATGGGCAGCAGCACAAACTTAAACGACTGAGGAGTCGCAAGGAGAGGAGTCAGATGAGAGGTGGTGGGAGAGAGGCCTCCAAGCCCAAATCACATCACCATCACTGCCATCGCCAAAGCAGTAAAGATGTAGCACATTCCCAGAACTGCTGTCACAGTGGCTGTCATTGCTCTGCAAGAAGAGCTGAACCGTTTCCGACTGTCATTCCTGCCGCACAGGAGCCCAGTATCATCACAGACAGTCGACTGATTGGACACCACGGCCTGTTCAACCATGAGGTGAAGTCTATCGACATTGAACGCTTGTTAAGTGAGCAGAGCAAACTGGAGAAAAGCAGAGAGCAAGTACAAGAAAAGAACAATGCTACTTCACATCCATCTTCAACATCTCACATTCCTTCTCCATTCTCCACAAATGATTTGTTGGGTGCTGATAATGATAATTGCCAGAAGACAGAGAAGAAAGTCAGTCAGGGATCAGATATCACTCCCGGCCAGAAACCACAGCAACAGCTTGATCTTTCATCTGAAAGTTTTAAAAGCATCCTCTCATCTAAACACAGCTCGCCCCCTGTAGTGATGACGGAGAGCAAGAAGAGAAGCCCTGTCATGTCTGAAAAGGGCAGAGAGTCACAGCTGACTCTCACTGTTGTCAGAGCAAATGTGAAGACGCTGAACAGAAAGGTAAAGCGTCATGTGATTTCTACTCTGGAGCACACCCCAAAGAACCAGTGTTTGGAGTCTCCTGTCCACCAAACACGACCTCATGGCCTCAGCACAAGCCCACTTCAGCTCCCCAGCTCACACACTGCTGACAGCTTTGACATACAGCAGAGAAGACAAGACCCTGACTGTGTATCTAAGTCTGTCAGCGCACTGGCAGCAGGTTTGTGTGACTGTCTGCAGTTCCCGCATCTGAGGAGGAGAAACCTGGTGGCAGAGAGCAGGGAGGTGTTGTTGAAAGCTCTACGGGAGAGGCATGGACCCTGGCTTCAGGAGAACCTCCTCGAGGTGCAGCGATGCCTCAGCTTTGGTGCTGATGCCGCAAAAAAAGTCCAGCATCAGGAGCCAAACATGATGGATGAACTCTTGTCTCCAGGTAAGTTCTAAAATATTAGACAACTCTGGAATTCTCATTATAAAAATAAAATATGGTGATTTGTTATGGTTGTTTATAATTGCTAATCATTTTTATTGTATCTTTTAACATATCTCAGTCACAAAAATCTTCATAGAGATATAGTGGTTCCCAGTTTACATATAAAATGACTAATAAGTTAATTTTTTCCAGCATTATTGATGTTCATATGCCTGAATAATTAAGGATTCCTATCAATCACTTTTTACCTCCATTATTGACAATACTGTTTAGTGCTAGTTGTCTATATTAAAGCTGCCCTACAGAGCCAAATGCTCCTAACATTTAATATGTTCATTTTAAACTCTGATACAGAACTATTAATACAGATGGATAACCGATACCTCATTCAAAACCACCGCAAAAAGAATTTAAAAAAAGTCCTAGGCACACAAAATACAATAGATTTTTCTTTTTTTATCAACAACCTCCACACAATGCTGGTACAGAAAAAGTTACTGAAGACACGCCTCCAGTCACATGGTGGGTTTGTTGCTGGAGAGAATGCGGTAACAGCCACAAGTTGAGGACCAGTTGATTTTCTTTCCCATTGTTTCATCTGTGCAGCCGTAGGTTGAAAATCTGATTGTAGATCTGCTTATCTCGTAGATTTGGTACTTTTTATTCTATCGATGTACAGTTAACAGGGATCGTGTCGTTGTAAGTGTGGTAATGAAAATGAACTCCATTGAAGTATTGATGCTTTTACCACCTAGGTCATTGTTTACATCTGTGTTTACCAGTTTGCAGTCTTCTTCCTTGCCTTGGAACATTACTACATGTCTTTGCATGTCAAGTCAAGCCAAAATTATATAGCACAATATTACAAATCACTGTTATCACTGCCATCTGTCCATCATTCAGAATAGCAGGAATGTGTATTGTGTGTCCTGCATGCTCTGCATCTTCCAAAGTTAGTACTTTGAGTGCTAAATTTACTCTTTTTGTGTTCATGGAACGTGTTTCTCTGTTTATCTTCAGTGGAGGGATACTAACAGTGTCATAGTGCTTTGTAGACTACTTGCACTGATTACAATTTTTTTGGCCAATCCCGATTTCGGATTTGCAGTGTTTGGACGGCCAATAATGATTTTGGCTGATTCCGATTTCATAGTTTTTTTTACAAACCACTTTACAGCACACAAGATATTGCAAAATTTTTCTTTCCTTTATTAGAACATTTTAACCAAGATACAACCAGCTTTTCAATAATCATCTCAAACAAACAAAAACAGTGACACAGGTTAAGAAACATTTTCCTATTTGCTCAAATATAACTTCAGGTACAGTATTAAAATAAATAAGTAAAAATGAAAACACAGATAAATAAAATAATATTTCTTGGTGTATAGCATTTGTGGGTAATTTCTTGAATAGATAAAAAAGTAAAAATATCTCCTGTGGAAAATTCACACAGGTCTTCACATCTACAAAGTGCAGTGTCATGGAAATTCTTATTTTAACAACTAGAAAAAAGGTGCACATTCTTCGGCATGTGGACACGCGTTTTGTCAGTTTCAAGCGGCACAGTGCACAGTTTAACACGGACAATTAACAACGTCTCCTCCTCTCTTTTGATGTGTGAATGATGAAGGTGAGAAGCCGCCCATGTTTCACTTCCTCCCATCGCCCAAGCTGTGAGTTGCGCTTTTGCGTGTGTGTGCGCTGCTGATGTTGCATGATGTCAGTCATGTGGCGCGGCAGGAATTTGACCGGTGTTTTAAATCGGCATATTTTAGACTGACCGGCCGGTCGCAGGTCATGAAAATCAGCCCAATTCCAAGCACTGCCGATTAATTGGTACAAGTCTAGTGCTTTGTCTAACTCATATTAACTTCAGACACTGTTGCACACAACGAGGACTGTGGGTTTTGTCACCATCACTTATGCTGACAGCACATTTGGATAGCATCTTTTATTGGTCAGTGTGAACAGGAGGGATAATTAACTATTGTCTTAAGATGGACCCTGTTATTATGAATTATAAACCTATCCTTTAAAGAGGCCGTTATTAGGAGTTGAATGAGTACCAAACAACAGCATGTATTCGCGTCAGTCCATACAGTACATTTCTTGTTATAAAAAGCAGTAGTAAGCACTGTAAATATTATAGTTTATGGACAGTTTTTCAGTTGTGTCTTCTCCTTTTTAGATATATTCACAACAGCGTTTCAGACCGACACTGCCAGTCAGCCACGATTTGACACCCACACAACCACATCTTTCAGGCTGACGGGAAGTGGGCATTTTAACTGGAAGTCCAGGTCACAGCCACACCAAAACCTGGAAGAGGTAAGTCCTGCACTCTGCCACTCTTTTACTTCAGTTCACATATGTTCCAGCTGTTACCCTTTCTATAGACGAATCCGGTGACCGCTATCTTCAGCGCCGCAATTACTGTGGTGGCATGTCATTGGTCACGGCTGCTGATGGTGACAAAAAAAAAACAGCTCCTCCTGAACATACCTGCCACTGTTTCAGTTCAATGACTGTTTACTGGTGACTTTCAGCAAAATGTGTCTGTGGTTGCTCTCAGTTACTTACACAAGTGGTTGTCATAGATAAAGAATGTATTTAAAAGTGATTTAAGTAAAATGTAAACCTTACACAAGAATACACACGTTCTATTCGTATTTCAGCAGCAGCCTGCAGTCACTACGAGTAACCATGATGCATTCAGCTGAGAGTCATGAGTCAGTTACCTCTCACTCATAAAACCGAAACACCAGACAACATTGAATGCCTTCTCTATATCAGTAACGTTTACTTTGTGTTCATTGCCCAAGTTAGAGCAACTAAGCTTATTTTCCCAATAAGGCTGCAGTCAGTTGACTGAGTTTTTTATTCTGTGGGACCACTGGCAGTGGTAGGTAGAGTACTGAAAACCTGTACTTAAGTAAAAGTGCAATTACTTACATAAAAACAAACATATAACTTAAAAAAATAAATAAATAAAGATATCTGGTTAATATATTACTTAAAGTAAAAGTTACTTTCCATTTCAGTATTTTTAGGGTGTGCAGGTCAGTGCAAAATACTGAAAAATCAGAATAAGGAAAGTCTAAACAATTGAGATATGAAAAATCTCCCGCTCTGTCTCCATTTCTTCCTCTCTACCCTTCTCTTCCTTATCATAACATCAAAGATTAACATAACACATAAAAAATTAACATAGCTTACATTAGCTGACTAACTACATTCTCACCTACAGTATGAACTTAAGTGTGCTTGCAGAAGTCAGATGAGGAGTTTTTAAAGGCGGAGATCTCAGTGTTTTTCAGGAGGCACGACTCCTCATCGAGTGACTGCTGCCTGTGTGGCCAGGTGTGGTCACAGATTGTCACTAGAAGTTGCCACTTGTTCTGGGTTTTGCTCCGTCATCACCACACTGTGGTCAAAACTCAGATGGTGCTTCTTTTTTCTTCCAGGCAGCTTAGCACCTGCAGTAGAGGTGCTCCTCACGTGCTCTCCACCCATTGACTCAATTCCTGCATTTAGAGCAGACTAGTTGTAATGAAGGTAAAAAAGTCAAATGTAGAGAAGTAAAAAGTAGATTACTGGCTCCAAAATATACTGGAGTAAAGAGTAGAATCACAGTTTTACAAAAAAGGAACATGAGAAGTACTTGCTCCTTTAAGACAAGAAGTAGCGTTACATAGAAAGTAAAAGTAAATTTAGAAAATTGCACACTTCTTTGGACAGCTTGCATTTAAACACAAGGGAGATGCCACCGCAGTAATAGCGACTTATTTACTTCCCCAGATTTGTCTATAGTAATCCTCAGATAATTTAAGATTCCCTTACTCTGGAATAAAATGCCTTCTGGTTTTTCTGTGAAGACTGCTGAATGGTTGACAAGCCCTGCGGAGACTTCTGTCAGCCTTTTGGATGATATCCTCAGACCAGCTAGCCCTCCACAGTTCTGCATGGAGTTTGAGCCCTGTGGAGTTACAGCCAGTGATCATTTGTTCTCTTCCACCTCACACTGGGGAGAAAAAGCCGCAGCCTCTCAGCACTGGGAAGACAGTTTTAACAGGCCAAAGAGCAGAGGGGCTGTTATGTTTGATTCCTTTGAAGACAGCTTTATGAAGCACACCAGAGCACTTCCAGAGAGGAGCAGTGGGTCTCAGTACAGTGGCAGCAGCATCAAGCCTTTCTTTCCTTACAAACCACAGCTGCCAGATAGACGTTCAGCAGAGCCAGTGCACTTTCCTCAGGGGAAAGACCCATTTGAAACTGACAGATACTCTTTTGCTCCCTCCTTCTCTGCCCAAAATAACTATCCTCAACTGAGCTTCCAGGCTTTCAACCAATTCAGTCACCCTTCAACTTGCCCTCCCCTCAGGTCCCACCACACTGACATGACGCATTACCCACCATCTTACATGCTTGAAAGAGACCCAGCAGCTCCCCTTTCTTCTTTCCCGAGCCCTGAGCATTGGTCCTTCCCTCCTATGAGACTGTACTAATGTGTGGTGAAGCTTTGCATAGAGACATGCCTGTGAACATTACTTTGGTTAACTAAAAAACAGTGCTCTCTTAATTAATACCATCAGGACTTTTTGTTTGGCAAGAATATATGTTGTGTGCTCATATTTTACTAAAAACACAGTATTAAATGTGACAGTTATAGCTGTTAGAGTTACCTCTTTTATTCTTTTGTCCCATTTATGCTGTGATAAAGAAACACACAATTATGTCTTGTTTGCATCCTTGGAGCATTTATGTTATTATGCAGAACTGTACACATTTCTTCGTCATGGGAGATTATTTACAGACCAAGAGCCAAGAACATGCTACTGTGAAAGCTGTTTGATATTTAGTTGTGTATGTAGGAAACATTTAAATGTAGTGAAACACTCTTGTACAACTGTGGGATAATTAAAAAAAGACATGCATTGTCAAGCATTGCTAAATATGATTAAACTGAGTACATGATTTTAAATGACATTTCTGATTCATGCTTGTATGAATTGTCACACTGCACATTTACATCATATTTTCATGACCCATTCCCTGCAGCATAAAATTGCATTATTCATTTATCACAGTGGGAAGTTTGTCTTGACAATCACCAGTAAAAATGTCAAAACATTTTATGGAAGCAAGTAATAGTTTTCATCTGAGGTGCGAGCATCAACATGTTCTGTTCTGCCTTCTTTTTCACGACCTTCACTGCAGTTTTGCTCTGTTTCAAATCTGCTCCCTGTTCTCATCGCCCTACGTAGCTGATTCCAGAACAGCTCTTGGGCCTGTGTGGGGTTAGTGCAGTCTGAGCCAGGCCACTGCAGATACGTCTTTTTCAACATGACTTTCCTCATGCGGTGATAGGACGACAACTGCCTCTCAGAGATTGGCTCCAGAAACACGAGCAGGAGAACGTCCCGGTGCTCGTCGAAGAGCCGGTAGCTTGCCAGTTGGATTTCCAGAGAACACCATTCACTTGTCAGGAAATTCCTGCTCACCACACAGATAGTTTTACGGCTGCTGTACACAGCAGAGACAATGTTGTCCACAATATCACGGCCAAGTTCAAAGTCCCTGTGATGTAGGCAAAGTTTAAAAGATGATCCATTTCCCTCCAGGTTGGGCATTAACTGCTCAATGACCCATTGTTCATCAGAGGTATTGTAGGAAATAAATGCATCATATTTGCAATTTTCCTCCTGCTCTCGGAGTCTGCGCCACTGATCACTAAACCAGGAACGAAACACATAGTAGTTGTACTTCATCTTCCAGTAGAGTTTGACATAAAGTAATGGAGTGACTGTGAACAGAAAAATCACAATTGCTGTGCTCAAGAACAGGTACTCTCCTAGATCTATGTAACACACATTGGTCTTAAAGTTGTAGAAATTGTGTTGGTTATCATCTGGGCACTTCATATTGTAGAGATAGACCACCTGGACACGGCGGTTATGCAATGTCCAGTTTTGCAGCAAGTGGTTCTTGCAGGTGCAGCTCAAAGGAGTATTGCGTATATCAAGGTAGTGGAGTTCAGGTAAACTGTCTAGTATCTCAAAATGAATGCTCTGCATCACATTGCGGTTGAGCTGCAGTTTGTGCAACTTTGTAAGATTCCCAAAAACCTCCTTTGAGAAGGTCTGAATGCCCATATTTTCCATACTCAATATGTATAAATTTCTTAGATTCTTAAAAATGCCAGGTTGCAGCTGTGCCACCCCAACACAGCAGCTTTCCAGTGAGAGGAAAGTTAAGTTTGTCAGATCATCGAAGGCATCAGGAGCAAGATAATAGATGTTATTGTTGGCGAGATACAGAGATTTCAGTGAGTGGAGACCACGGAAAAAATTTTGGGGCAATACTGAGAGGCCATGTGGCCGTTGCCCATCCAATTTCAAATCACTTAGTTTACTGAGATTCATAAATGGTGAACTGGTCACTTTGTGTAAGAAGTAAATCTGATTACTTTTTAAATCCAGCACTGTTAGTGTGTCTTGAAACACACGATAGAGGGAGGTGTCAATCTCTTTGAGGTTATTTCCATCTAGATAAAATTTGGACAGACTTGTCAGTCCATCGAGGCCAGATTGCTCAAAATGAGTGATCTTATTACCTCCTAGGTCCAGTGTAGTCAGATTCCTGAGACTGAGGAAGGTCCCATTGAAAATGACAGCAATGCGATTGTTGCGTAGGTTAAGGGTTTGCAGGTTGACATTATCTTCAAAGGTGTCATTGAACAAATCAGTTAAGAGATTATTGTCCAAACGGAGCATCTCGAGGCTTTTTAGCCCTTTGAGAGCTTTCCGGTGGAGAAAAGAAATTGTGTTTATGTTAAGCTTTAGTGTCTTGATATTTGGTGTATGACTGAAAGCATAGGCGTTGACTGAGAGGATGCGGTTGTAACGATAGCTCAGCTCTTCCAGATGGTTTAAATAAACCATATTTTCTGTTTTACAGGATTGAAGGCTGGTGATATGGTTATGCTCTGCATTTAAGCTTTTTATTTGTGTGTGTTTATCAAGAAACTTAAAACAACCTGTGCTTTTCAGGTTGTTGCGGGATAGATCCAAACTCCCTGTAATAGTAGGACAGTACTGCAGTGCGTAGTTTGTTAGATTCTTGATCCCGTTATTACTCAGGCCCATTCGTTTAATCGATTTCACTTTTCCCTTCAGCGATGTACATAGCTCTGTGAGCAGGGTGTCATTTTTAAGACCCATGCCAGAGAAGTCAACGCTACCTGCATTGACATTGCTGATGTTTAAAAACTCCACTACCTTAACACTTGTTGAACGCAAGCGCAGATAGTTTATATGACTCAAATCCACCCCTTGAAAAGCCATTGTAGGGAGCCGAGGATTGTATGACAAATCTAGCAGCTGAATGAACCCAAGAAACGACTGGTGACATCCTAATGTTAACAGATTATTTCTACAGATATATAATGTCGTGAGAGATTTGGGTAGAGACGCATTTGAGTGTTTGAGATTGGTTAAATTGTTAAAGCAAAGATCTAGTACCCTCAGCTTTGGTAGATGTGACACAGACTCAGCAATCCCTGAGAAATTTGTCAGAAAGTTTTGCCTCATGATTAAAGTGTCCAGATTGAGAAGAGTGGAGAAAATGCCGACAGGGAGCTGCTTTAATGAATTGTTTGTCAGCGAGAGATAGGTGAGGTTGTGCAGGTCTTTAAACACATAAGGGTTGAGCTGTGATATGTTGTTAGAGGACACATTCAGAGATTTGAGTCGAGTCAAGTTTTGAAAAGCGAACGGATCGATTTTCCTTAAGTAATTATGATCTAGCCTAAGGTATTCTAGGTTTGTTACATTAACAAAGCTCATGCTGGGAATGTGCCACACAGGATTAATGGTGATGGTGAGATTGACAGCAGTTTGCGGCAGGTCTCCTATAACAGCAGACAAGTTACTTTCCTTCCGAAGGATGCATTTGAAACTTTGTCCATATGGGTATGGGTCTTCGATGCAGTTCCTGAAGCTGTAACCACTGATGAGGTGAACAGCACAGAGAGCAAGTGTAACTGACAACAGCTGATAAGTTAGACTCGCCATTTTGTCTTGTTGTCATGCAGAGAATTTGTCCTTTACATTACTTTCATCAGTTTTTGTTTGTTGGGCCTTTTGTTCACCAGATGAACATGGTACAGGAATCTGAGGACAGAGAGCAGGATTTATATCACTTGTAATGTTGTACAGTCGGATTGAAAGTTGCATTATCAGATCAGGCTTCCTACTCTCTAAGCAATCAAACAATTCTAATAGAGAACTGCTACCACAGTCCTTATGTATACATACACATATCACCATTCACACTGCACATGGTGACCCTGTTTTCATACCTTTACAGAATATTTCTAAAACTGTCAAAGTAATTTAAAAGAATTCGTCACTTGCAAAATGAACATTTGTGTATCAGTTGGTCATCGTAACTAGCTGGATTTTGTGAAGAAACTTTTTTCTGGCATGCCTCCATGGTGAACAGAGAATCCAAAAATGGGGAACCTTCTTAATGAATTGAAACATTACAGCAAAAATTACATCAAAACATCAGTTTACAAACTCTCACACAACTCGTGCAGTATAATCCAAGTCTTGTTTATCTAGTGCTATGTTTAGTACTTCTCAAACACATGTATTTTTGTTATAAATGTTATAATATAAAATGCTTTCACCTAGAACAGGGGTAGGCAGCCTGCGGCTCCGGAGCCGCATGCAGCCTTCAAGACCCTCTCCAGTGGCTCCCTGTGGCTTTAACAAAAACATTCAGATTTTTATTTGTCACTGATGTAGCCCTGAAGTGATTATTGCATTCTACAACTGTGAACATGTGAAGCCTATACATCGAATTAAAAAATGTTTTACCTTTTCATCAACTACAATGTGAGTCGTACGTCGACGACCTGGTGCCTTTTCCTCTAAATTTTGCTGAACTTCAGCTAACCTGGAGTCTCTTTAGCATGGCTTGCTATGGATTTCAAATGCAAAAAAGGAAGTCTTGGAGGAAAATAAAGGATTTAATAGTGTGTGGACAGATTCATTTGCTTTCACTACCCACACTGCAGAGTTAAAGTACTAAATAACTATAAATAACCGACTGCAGAGTAGCCACCTTGTAGTAAATCATATTAATGAATGCTGATTTAGACCTTTTCGTAATGATGATGGGCTAATTTAGACTTAATAGGTTGTTACCTTTTATTCAAATATGTTTTGAGGCTCCAGACAGCTCTTTTAATAGTAAAGGTTGCTGACCCCTGGCCTTGAAGTAGCACACCTTGAGTGTGTTTGAGCAGAGTTTAAACCACTAGGCCGTGCATGAGACTGCACTGACATGTTTTAAATCATAATGTTTTAGCAACAAATCATGTGTTTGCGAATTGCCAAGCACATGGTTGGATAAATGAGACTTGGATTATACTGCATGTGTTGTGTGAGGGTTTGTAAATTGATGTTTTAATATATCTTTTGCTGTTGTTAACTGCAGTCCCCATTTACTTCAATTCACGAAGGGTTGTTCACCGTGGAGACATGCAAGAAAACTTCTCTTCATGAATTCAGGGTAACACTTGGTGAGTAACTGATGTACAAATGGTCATTTTGCTGGTGAAGTATTCCTTCAAGGTGTCTTTAAAATGTTTGGTATTCATACAGTAGATGGATAATTTAATGGTAAGGCTCTCCAAAAGATTTAAATTTACCTTTTAAAGGTCCAGTGTGTAGGATTTAGTGGCATCTAGTGGTGAGGTTGCAGATTACAGCCAACTGAAACTTCTCCTGTGTGCTCAATCTATGGTAATGAAAACAACAATTTTTAGTTTCAGGTAATTATACACTAATGAAAATATAGTTTTGAATATTACATTCCATTTCTGTCTGATGTATGGTGCACTTTAATAAGAAGTCTGACATGGATATTTATTATGGTTTTGCAGTATAATCAGTACTGGGGAGCTCCACTCACCAGTCAGGTGAAAAGTTTCTTTATTTATTAGTTTAGTTGAATAATTTGTTTTGGTTATGTGACGTGTGTTTATCGTCTAAATTTAGGATCCAGTTTTGCTGATTAATACATTTGCTTCATTTAGTATGTTTTGATTCCAGTATTTGTTCCACTGTTTCTTGTTTGCTTTGATTTTTAGTCATTGTTTTTTCACTTCCTGGTTGAGGATGGTGCTCTAAGGAACGCGCACACCTGGGAGAAGTTTTCCTTGTAGGATATCTCCAAGAATTTCTGACAGAAATCTATTAATTTTTACCCAAACCACTGCTTTTTTCCAAACTTTAACCAAGAGATCCTTTTCTGGTAATAAGCCCTCAAGGAAGATTTCTCCCAACTGCTGAACGTGCACATATTAATGCCCCTTGCTCCATCAGGATTTGGTAATGTGGACTGTACCAAGTGGGACCTTGGGGATGGGGAAGGTGGCAGTGTGTTTTATTTTGTGTGTATATTTTCTTTTCAGCCTTAGTAAAATTAACTGTGGCCTGATTTGTGAGTTCTAGTTATTATACACCTTAAAAGCCATCCTTAAAAAGACTGATGTAAGTGACAGTTGTAATACCTTTTAATTTTCCATTTAATTTCACCCTTGCTAATAATAATAGACTGACCCAGGAGTATTTAAAGCCCTTTTTAAAAATTGTTTGGCCTTTTGTCTGTGGGCTGGAGGGACCGTTCCTTTGTGTCAGTGAAGGTGCTTTCACACCTGCCCTGTTTGGTTCTTTTTAACCAACCGGTTCATTTTCCCCCTGAGTGCAGTTTGTTTGGGCAGGTGTGAACACAGCAATCGCACTCAGGTGCGCACCAATATAAACGGACCGAGACCTTGTTGAAGAGGTGGTCTTGGTACAGTTAAAAACAAACTCTGGTGCGGTTCATTTGTGGTGAGAACGTGTTCCAACCTTGATCCGAACCAACTGCAGTCACATGACACATTGTTTGGGTTAAACATGAGCATGTTACAGTCCTGGAGGATTATTAATGTGCACCTCCTCCTGTACTGCCTTAATATGCACATTCAGCAGATCCAATGCATCAAAACATTGTTTTCTAGTTGGAGCCGCGCCTCGTTTTCAACCTGTATGGTTTGACTAAAATGAACAATGACAGCAATATAGTCCAAGATGACCAGCGCTAAAATCAACCTGCGTAGTTGACCCTCCATTGTGACATTAGAAAGTGTCACATTTATCTTGCAAGTGTACTCTTCTTCAACGTTTGGTTTACTTCCTGGATTTTTTCCGCATCGAAATTCTGACCAATCAAGAGCAGCTTTCTCGCCCAGGCATTTCTTCTAGTCCGCTTGTAAATGCTGCCGTGAGAACACGAACCAACTCTAGGCAATTATGCAACTTTGTAACAAAATTAGTCCCTGATTCAGACCAAAGCAAGACAACCCTAGGTCTGAAAGCACCCTGATTTCTTTGTTCTTTGTTCTCTCACATTTGTTTGATGCTGAAAGACGAAAGAAAACAGAGCTCTGAAACAAAAGTTCTTTGACACATGTTGGTTCTGCTGGCTCACATCCAGAACAACGGGGTTTGACATTCACACCCTGACAGGTTCACGTAAATGTCCTGTCACACAGCATTCCAGTAATTCCTGAGCTTTTGCTGTGTAACAAAACTAAGGCAGGAGTTATACTTGCTTTCTAACCATGCGTTTGCATTGACAAACGGCTGCATCGTGAATGGATTTATTCACATACTTGTCTATGTATTATGCATGATACTGGAGGATCTCACCAGAGAACTTAGACTGTATAGGACTTTCAGATTTGCATGATGTGAAAAATACATGCAGCGACACCCGAGGAGGTTACTGGATTGTTAATTCTGAGATCAGCATGGAACATGGCAGAAAAAGTGACAGCAACGTTTTTGTAGATGGTATATATAAAGCATATCGTGACAGTGGTGAATTTTCCCTCTGTCTGCCAACACTGCCTCGACTGTTCATGTATCTTCTTGTGGATACGTCTCGTTAATTCCTGAGAAGGTGCGCAACCTACGCTCGGACACAAGTGATGTGAGGCAGCCATCATGTGCACGTGTATGCGTGGTTAACAGCAAGTATATCTCTCACCTTGTGCTGCATAAAGAAAAGTGGGTTCCTCTTTTGTAAAGTTTTCATATCCCTTTTCACTCTTCGTTTCTGTTTCTCCTCCTCCCCCTGACATTTGTTCTGCTTTGTTATATAAGACACTTGATATTTTTAAAATCATGCCATAAATGTTGACAATTGTCGGCTAAACAGCAAATAGTTTGTCCTGGAGTTTAGGAATGGACTATAGATGACTAAATTATAGCAACATTGTGACAACCCATATGTATGTAATGGCAGCAATTAATCCTTTTACATTAACTGTCATAAAAATTCTCCCATTTTTTTTTGTCCTATATTACAGATTCAAACTATTCAAAAAAGATATTTATAGTCTATAAACTGACTGTTGTCCCAGTAACAACTTTTGCAAACAGTGATATCCTGTGAGATGTCACCCGCTTATAATCTTTCACACAATCTTTAACAAGCTTGTCTGATAACAAAAACACTTGCCAGTAGTTGCCAAGTATATCACTGTGTTTGAAGTTAAAATTAACAACATTATTTTGCAATGTCAGCCTCACCTGTTCAAAGGAACGCTGTTCACCTCACCTCCTCAGAGAGCTTGTCATGCTGTGGATATTTTAACACACTAAGTGAGAAAGAGGAAGATGGGTGCAGCCCAGTCTCTTACTTTCACATTCAGCCACAACATGTTAAATCGAAGAGGTTTTTTATTGAAATACTGTTACTTCAATTAATATACATCAGTTATTAAACATAACATAAATTACTCCTTTTATAGAACATTATATGAACACATGATATATGTCGCTGAATAACACTATATTCAAGAAAAGCAGTATTCAGGTGTAATTTTATTCCAAAATAAATAACGTGCAAATTCACCACTGTAAAGTGGCTTATGTAATGTCAGAGATAAGTCATTGTTCTTCATTTTCTTCTTCATTTCATCACTGGTTTGTTGCATAAAGACAATTTCATTATACAGTCACTTATTGTTCAATATTCAGTTTAAAAGTACAGGCCTGTTGAAATATTGATATTTTTTCTCTGTTGACATTTTGTCTAACATCTGAATTATAGTATCTGAATTGCTGCCAACGTCTCAGATAT